TAGATATTATTCTAGATTCTAGATTGACTGGCCTGAAGCCTTGTGATTAACTGTGAAAACAGATTTAAACAATCTAGTGCCTGGAATGCGATTCTTAGTGCGTACAAGAATAGAAAAAAAATGGTATGACTTCAGTTTCACGTGTGGATACTTTCTACACGCTAAGAAATTCGACGTGTCAGCTACAGAATAGATGATAATGATCTTGCACACGACAAGAACTTTGTCAAAAACGTGTCGAAAACGTGTCGTGTCTGTTGCAGATGAGAAAACTATGAGCATGTACACGATACGAATGCTTTCGGACATATGTGTGTAGGGTGAAATGTGTCAGTGCATTACGAGTCGTCCAGGTAGCTGTCGTTTTACTACCAACTGTGGGAAGAAGTATTTTGTTGCATATGTTGACTATTAAGCAACACTAGTCTACGCGCATAAACGTTCGTTTATTGACAATGCACCTCACTCCATACAATAGCGCCATCGTGTTGGGGGTAGACAAGATTTTTGTCTTGTCCGGCGCCGAAGCAGTGTACAAAGTTCGCGTGTAGAAACGACACGAATTCGTACATAGACCCGCCGGCGTTTCTTGGCGTGGACACGTGCACAAACCTTTTCAAAAAAGGAATCATCGTAGTAAGGAACCTGTAAATAAGTTATAATCATTTAGTGTGACAGTTTTGTCGCCTACAGTATGAACCGTCAGGCCACGAAGTTCGTCAAATATAATACATTCATAGAATTGCAAATTTCTATACACAACATTACACACATTCTTTCAGATGGTTATGCATACCTTTAAAAAAGAGCCACGTAATCAATTCAGGTACAAGTATACTATTTATCAAGCAAGAGTATACAGAAATTGTTATATATAGGAACCATATAGGGTGCTCATTATTATTCATAGCAGCGCGTTCCTATTGAAACGACAGCATTTAATGTGTGCAGCATTCAGAGCGCACGTGACTCCATATATTCAATATAGGTTGCATGAAAAAACGTCGAAGGATCCACCTGCCTCTCTGTGGTCTATTTTGATGATATATTTTTATTACAGTTGTTCGTGAAACTACAGGTAAAAGAGACTTAATACAATACAAAAAAAATGCTTCCTTCCTCTCAGAAAGGTCTATCGGTAGTTACATCCCATATGAAATAGAAAGTTCCTTATTATGGTTCAACTCACAATGTGGTCGGCGTGTGACGCCTCACAGCGCTTAAGTGACGCGTGAGAGTGTGTACCTTCATAATGGGAAAATAGAGGTGAGTATACTATAGGCGAAAAACATGACACATGACGCTTCTACTCTGCGCCAGTGTGAGTTGAGCCTAAGAGTTGCAGCCTGTACTAGGTTGGATCTGTGTTATAGATCACCAGGCTCACCCAACTCCAATGTAATATCATTTAAAAAAATACAATGACATCACAAAATAAACCGTAGCATAACAAGAAATGTTAATGTGTCTGTGTGTGTATGTGTGTGTATGTGTGTGTGTGTGTGTAATAAATAAATAGCCTCCCCATTGACTTACAATTATATGGACGTCGGGTCCGCGCTAAAAAGTGTCCGCACTTTTAAGGCGCTAAAATCGTATACAGAGCGCGACACTCCGCTTTAGTCTTCATTTGTTCTACTGACAGCGCGATACTGCGATGACATTACAATTTAAATTTCGAATAGGTTGACTTGGGACATTTTTTTCGTGGTTTTTGTATTAGACCCGTCGTCCATTTATTTGTAAGTCAATGAGCCTCCCAGAAAATTAAAATGACGCTCTGCAAAACAAGTGGCAATTGTAACTGAAGGACAGAATGTTGAGTTTATTAGGGTCATAGGGGATTTAAGTGTGGATGGTAAAAGCTAATCGAAGGCCAAACAATGACCTTACTGAAAGGACCTCACAGGTTTTACAGAGGTCAGAGGTCGGACTTGGAAAGAAGAAAAAAAATCATTTCACTACCACCAACAAACCACACGCCCTCCCTCAAAATTTTTGAGAAATAT